TATCTGATAGACCATATGTTCTGAGAATAATGGACTATATAACTGCATCATTAAATTGGCATCATCATCACCACCATCACAACTGCTCCTAATGGATCAAACATTAGATCACATATCATTATCAGCATCTGCATCATTTGTTACTTAATCAACAATATTATTATATAGTATATTTCTATATATTAATATGAATTCTATTTATGAACAACTTCTCTTAATATCAGCAGGTTCATGGAAAATATTTCATCACCAATCACAAATAAATTGTTATTATTATTAAATGCTACTAATAATACCAATAATAATAATATTGCAAATATTCTTTTCTCTGTATCTCTTCAATGATTTCTATTAAAAACAACAACAATAATAGCAAGGATTAGGAATTGGTTGAGGAGGACATTATTTGAATCAGAGCCATTATTTAATAAAGCATGATTATCATCAAACCCAAAAGATTTATGGAGTGAAGGGTACGTATACATACATACACATGCACATGCATAGATATAACTTCTAACTCTAAATCTTTTTAAATTATTTATAATATCTATTTGACTTTGAATTTAGGTGGCATCAAATATTTAATGAAAGTTTTAAAGAATTAGGCTATTATTCAAAAATTTTTTAGCATCACTATTTCCAAATTATTGCAAAGGGTTATTGGAAATATATTAGGATTGTTTGCAAGTTTTTTATGTAGTGGAACATTTACATTTGACATTTTTTTTGTTTCGTGGATTGTTGATGGTAATGTGGAAATTTGATTCAAAATATAGAAGAAAAACTTTATTATCAGAAAAATTTTATCATCATAAACTTCATCACCAATAATAAACATCTATGGAATTTATAATTTGGAATTCAATTTTTAATTTTTACAATTCCTTGGTTTATAGAAGATGTGTTATAAATTCCTAAATCTGAAATAGTTTCAAATTTAAGTAAACCAGAACTCATTTTCATTTTGCCATCAGCAATTTGCATTCCTTGATTAAAAGTTAAAATTATTAATGTGATATATGAGAAATTCCTTATTATTATTATGATTATAATAATTACCATATGGCTCTTCTGAGTTATTTAATTTGTTTATCATTGTTTTTTGATCTAATTAAATATATTTTTATTTATTATTATGAATGACCATAATAAAATTAAGCAATTTAAGAAAAAAATGATAAATACTTTTGAAATGATTATAAACTATAATCTTTTTTATTGATATTTTGGTTGAATGAAGGTGGTTGTTGCTGTGGCAAAGTTACTGAGTTATAAGGATATGGTGATGATGAATTTGAAGGAAAGTTAATAGGCTGGAGAATGTGTTGATTGAGATTGTTGTTGAGCTGATGAATATTGTCCTTGTTGATGTTGCTGTCGATAATTATGATGTCCTTGTTGATAATTATTGTGGCAATGTTGCCATCGTTGTTGTCCTTTTTGTTGCTGTGTTCTTGTTCTTGTTTTGCCATTTTTAATTTATGTTCTTCTTGTGATTGAAATGAATTACTAGTATTGGTATCAGTGGTTGGAGAGGTTGATCCGAATAAACATCCATATCTTATTTACTATAAGAATTCAAAAATTATATGGAATAATTTTATTTTTTCTAGTTTAAATAGTATATTTATTATCTGTAATAATCACATAATGATGTCAATCATATATTATATTATACATATTAATAATTAAAAATCAAAACTCAAATAAAATGATTTTTTCAAAAAATTTTATCATCTTCTTCTCTGTTATTCTTTATTGCTTTGTAAGCTTGATCATGGCATTGATGATGATAGTGGTATAAATGAAAAGAAATTACGAATGATAATATGTAACTAGCAGCTATGAAGAAATTTAGAATCATACATATGGTGTACATGTAACATAAGATTGAATATTCAGTAGGAACTGAGCTGATTTCTGCGCATTGTATTGGAAGTGCTGTTAATTTCTGATAAGTTGTTGATTTATAATTGATACCTTTAATTGATTGAAAAAAAAAATATACAAGTGAATTAATTTAATTGCAATTTAATTTGTGATTTTTCGAAAAAACAAAAAAGCAAGACATACTTGTAAGTATCCATACAACGAATAGTCCACTAGATGATTATAATTTTTAGAAAAAAATTGAATCATTGATTAATTAATGAATTAATTAAATGCTTTGACTAAAAACAAGAAATCTCTAATTAAATAAACTGTTTACCTGTCAATAAAATAATCTTTTTTATATGGACCACTTTTTAATCTTTTCTTATAAAATATAATAAAATATCCTAATAATAAAAAATAATCATTAATTAATTATTATCGTCATTAAATCATAATAATCATTAACCATTATCATCATCATTGTCATTATTTAATTAATTTACCTATGATCAGCACAGACGTAATGACAACTGTAAAATAAAGCCATTTCACTGCATAATAACTATTAACATGGTTAATGAATAGAACAAAAAATAAATAAAAAAACAGTAATTAAATATGTAATTTGAGAGATTGAAATAATAAAAAAGGAACTTACTATCGAATTTTATTATAATAATAAGTAGTATAATATGTAACAATAACTGACTTATGTAATAATACCCAAAACACTATTTGCGTTATTTCTGTGTGGAAATAAGAAAATTAATATCCATTATATCAATTATCAGTTATTGATATCAGTTATTTACCTAATCCAAATGCTATAATTGAGAATAAAATTTGAAATAATCTTAAAATCAATAAATGATTTGTTTTTTTCGTATTAATATTCATTTATGTATATTTACAATAAATATATAATATAATAATATATATTTTTTTTTTTGAATTTTTTTAAAATCAAAGCCGTATTTATACATATTTGATATTGTTTACTGAATAATTGGATAATTACATCAAATTTGTGTAGCATAGTGGACATTTTCGTCGATCATATTTGATTGGTTAAAAATTGTCACCAAGATATCACGTGAAATTTGATTTGATTGGCTAATGATTAGTGTTGAAAATCCAGTGTGGGGAATGTGAGGAGTAACATTACACACCAATCAAAATTTTAATTTTTGAATATATATATATATATATATAGTTTCTAAATTTGTAATAGTTACACAACGAAATTTCAACACTGCTAATGCAGTCAGGGATATTTCCATAGATGGAAATACTAAATACCGTAATGATCGATTGTATGAAAAATTCTAGAAGAAATTCTGATTGGCTAAATTCAATCAGGGATAATACCCTGTAATCATCGACATCATGAAAAGAAATTCTAATTGGCTAAATTCTGTGCAGATCTTTTCGTTGAATAAAAAATAATAATCTTTATTCTTTCAATTATTATAAACCGATTTATTTTTAGAAAATGTAACATAGATATAACAAAGAAGTATCCCTGACTGTAATGATTATATATATCAATTTGATAATTTAGAATTTTCCTGAAATATTTTCTATTGATTAATGGTTACATACCAACTCTTTTCGGATCAGATCGTTTAACCATCTAAAGCTACATCAAATAGTATAATAATAATTTTGGCGACCGCGCAAAATACCAAATGCAAAATTGAATATCTTGTTATGTGAATGACATTGTAAAATAAAAATAAAATAAATCTTATTATTTATCATTACCCATTAATATAATAAAGAAATATGTATGTTTCCTTGATATTTTATTCGAAAAATATGTTAGGAACCTACATTATTTTGAAAAAAATCTAGTTAAATATTTTTGTTACTATAGATTGCCATTAACACTTTCAGGTTTATTATAATTAATATGATTAATATGAAAATTTTACAATTTTACAACATCAATATGAACAAATTAAATCGTATTGTTTAATCTCTTATCACCTTCTCTATAAATAAATGTATATATAACCTTTCAATTGATGGATACCTTTAATTATAAGATAACAATTAGAATTAAATATTTCATTATTATAAATATTTTTCTATTCTTTATATATATAGTACCCACTTTTTATAATAAAAAAGTCATTGTGTTTAATTCTTCGTTTTGGAAAATTCATTATACACTTGCATTTCTTAATGCAATGCTATTAAACAAGTTTTATGAGTCTCTTTAAAACTTATTAACCATATGAAAGATTAAGGTATTTTACACTTACTCGACCACCTACCTATCTTCAGCTTTGAAGAAAAAAGTAACAATGTTTTTAAATAGTCGTAGCTTTCTTTATACAGAGAATTCCACACAAGATATTTGTTAAAAAATTTTAATGGTGTGCAGTTTTACTTTATCTTTAACAGCAAAGTTCAAGTTTATTTTTTATTTTTATTTTTAAAAAAAACAAAATCGAGAAAATATGTTTGGTATCTCATCTTAGAAATAAAGCTACACATTGTTTGTCCTAGAATATAATCTGGCATACATTCACCATATTCCAAGGTGACACTACAAATATGTTCAAGTATTGGATTACCTGTTTCTCTTCACCAATCAAGATATTTATTTACCTGGGATCAATCTTGGGCCTTTTAATTAATAATTATTATAATCATATTGGCTACTATTTAAACAACTTTACTTGTTGGTAATAATTGGTTTCTATTGATTATTTTAGAATAAAATAAAAAAAAACAAGACAAAAAAAAATCCACGAATGATTCAAATATCATCACAAAATTTATGTTGTGAATGCCATTCAAGCATTGTAAGTAATTTTAATGAATTGTTAATTTTAGAGATTAATTGGCTAATTAATATTCATTATATATTCTCTGTAGTATAAGGCGGGTAGATATATATGGTCGAAACCATATAATCCTAAGTACAAGTGAAGATTGGTGGTCAGCGAATATTAATAACCCCTTGATCGAATTCTGTTATTTTGATCAGGGGTTAGTAGAGAGGTACTTTGTTTTTTTTTCTCCCTGTTATTCAAATTCTAACCTATTGTCCTGTCTGTAGAAATGTTGTTCAGTCCATTCCATCACGTGATCGCCGTAATAGAGAGAATTTAATGAAAGTAAGAGTCCAATCAGGGAACAAACCTGATTTTCATTTAGTAGAATCACCACAGCTAATGTGTGGAGAGATAAAAAAAGATGATGATCTTGTAACAGATCAACAAAATACCGGAAAACTATTGCAAGAACTTTCAGATGAATTAGAATTTGCTTTTGGTAGTCTACCAAAAGATCAACAGCAAATTATCATGGAGATTGAAGCAACAGGATACAAGATTCAAAGTAAGTAAACTTGTAATGCTTGTATTATGTAACTATGTGATCATATTCCTCATTCCTTTGTTTTGCCTAGAAAAACGTGTTGGAATTTATGTAATGCGTGTTTTAGGGAGTGGTGTTTATCTTGGAAATGAGATTGATAGTTTTGAGATACCAACAATCTTACAGGATATTGACAAGTTGATAGATGGGATCCAAAAAGTGCTCACAAGTAAAGTAAGAACACATTCCATTTTCACAATTATACTTTTCTGTAAGGGTTATAAATTTACAGTAATGCATTAATTATTTGAATAACAGGTACGGTTTGAAGAATCTGTCAAGCGTATTGAAATTGGCAAGAAAGCTGTTGGTTCCTCTTTTCCAAGGTTAGCATCAAATTTATCAGTATCCAATTTACCTGGAAAATTCATCAGAGCCACTAATCACACACCCAAAAGAGCCTGAGTAGCAAATTTGACAAAAATAAAGATGAGTTATTTAAAAAAAACAGTATTTATAGTGATACACTTAAATTACTCAACACAATGATTTTTGCATGATGGAAAAAAATTGCACTAACGAAGAATCAGAATCTAATAATAAAACTTCAAGTCAAAATCAGAATTAAAAATTAAAATATTAAATTGTATGTAGATATCGAATTTATCATTCTTGTTCCCGCATTTATTTGCATATATATTAATCAATATCCACCATCATCCATCAATTTACGCAAAATTTTGTGTATCTTTATAATAATAATTGAGAAAAAAAAAAAATATTCATCCACCAAAGCATCATCTTTTTGTTTACGAAATTAAAGAAAGAAGGATACTATTTTGACAACATAAAATATACTAAGTTGAATGGTAAAGAAGAAACATGAATATCAATCACAATAAATACCAATGAAAATGAAATAATTTCAAAGTCTTTATTTCCTTCCTCTTTTTTTTTAACACTTTACCAATCAAATGACATGTTGCAAGGTAGATGGTACTAACCTTCTTGAGTTTTGGCTGAATTGTGTTTTTATGTTGCAGTATAATCATGTATTTTTCCGCAAATTTGCGGTTCCCATGGGTTAAAATCTTTCTCTTGGTTAGCTACTGTTTTTGGGGTGATCACCATAATAATATCTGTAGAATTTGCAAATACGTATTTTTATTTCTTATTGTTCCTAGAACTTTATGAAATATTAATAACATCATTAATGTTAACATTAACATTAGATATTTGCAATTTTGCAATTCATTAAAATATTGATACTGATTCTTCAGTAAAAAAATTTTTATAGCAGTTTATATTTTCTTCATCCGCAAAATCTTGATAAATGATAAAACGACAATAAATTTATTCCATTTTTGGAATAATCTCTATCCTATGTAATTTTTAGCAATTATAAATTGTTTAAATTCATCAGTAAAACAAATAAACGACTTTGTTAAAATTATTTCTTTTAAGAACTTAGCATTTCGTTTTTATTGGTTTGTGTTGGTTCATATGGATAAGGATTTATTTTAAAATATAAAAAAGAATTAGTCTGGTATTAGTGAAACAAAATCGATCAAAGAATTGTTGGATTGATTTCTTTTGTCAACATATTTAAGACAATTCTTTCCCTTATGTTCACGAAAATAATTAAATTTTTTTAAAAAAAAATCCAACTTATGTTTTCCAATTAATTACATTTATAAAATTAATTCCTTTTTAACAAAAATGAATCAACAAAAAGCTCTTGCTACATTATAAAATATGTAATGGCATAGATATACCAAGATTTAATAATACTATTGATGCAATCAACTTGTGGATTGATCTGGAAGAAATTAAAAGAAAAAAAAATTTTAAGAAAATTAATTATTTATTATATTAATCAATTTTTACAGTTTTAATTGCTATACATAATAAGAATTGTCCAAGACCAGAACGTTTATTAAATATTGACACAAAAAACAATTATTTGTTTGAGCGAACAGGTAACAAAAATTTAACCCATGCAATTGTTGATTGACCAATCAAAATTGTGAATTTGATAACGTAAAAATAAATAAATGTTGGTTTGTCAACAATTACTTCACCAACAGTTGTTTCGTTAACAAATGGTTCGAATTTAAGAAATTGGAAGCAACCATGCGGACAAACCTTTGAATAGTCTAACAAATTAAATTGTACCATTCGAAAATGTATTTAAAGGGTTGGTTTTCGACTTGGTTGAAGAATAACTCTTCTCTTGACCATATCTCTCAATATAACCAAAATAACCTTGATATAACGGATGTCAACATTTAAGATATACGATTAAGACAAAACATGAACGATGTATGAAAAAATCAAACAAATTTATTTAATAAAATTAAAATTACAACCCAAAAAAATTTTTTTTGCATGTCCTAATAAAATTTTCCATTGTTGCTGCATCCTTTATTGCTGATTCAATATTACCCAGATTATCATCAACTGTATTTTCGATATTTTTGATAAACTCATTTCGTTCGATCTTTTCGTTATACTTTCTTTAGTGCGTTGACTTTTTTTTTGATTTCGACTTCAAGATAGTCCAAGATATCAAACGTTTAGATTGGCTCCTTTTTAGACAATGATTGCGACAACCATGTCCACATGTAAGTATATATACACTACAATTATTCAAATTAGTATATATAGTAGATGGTTTCCTAGAAGTAACAAAGCCTCTTGGAAGGTGACGATCGGTTATTTAGTAACATCATAACCTAAGCTACATTTTGATAAAATTTTATGTATAGTTATTATGTGTAGTTTTGCGCAATCAGTAAAAACAGGTGTCCGAAAACTTTTGTCTAGGTGTATATATATATATAACGATTTTTAATCAGAATCAAATTAATTTGTTAGTTAAGTTATATTATGAATAAATAAAAATTATATTAAATGATTGAAATTCGTTATTTTTTTGGTGGTGGTTTTGATGGATCAGGTACATTACCATCTAAAATAAAAAAAAATGAAAGAATTCGAAAGCTAATTGATATTTATTATATACAGTATACATATTTTTATAAAGGTATGAATATATTTACCTTCAAATCCAATACCACATTTAATAGCAAACCAAACTCTAACTTGGTACAAAATAACCTGATCCCCAGCAAGAATTTGTTTAGCCAAATCCTTGGTATTGATAAAATTGTCAATGGTGTTATAAATTGCCTTGTTACATGTAGTGCAGATGGCTGTTGGATCAGCAACTACAATAGAATCTATAAAGTCACCGCCACCAAGATTGAACGGAGATTTAGGTAAGTTGATTGAAGTGGTGATGTCATTTTCAACTAAGCAAAAGTGGCTTGGGTTTCCAGAGTCTTTAAAACATATTGTTTCCCTCACAGGAGAATAGAAAACGGCAGCAGGAAATATGATTTTCATTGCTGTGGTTTTCATATCATCTGGATTACATCCGGTTTGAATTGTCTTAATAGCATATGCAACACCTTGATCAGAACATTTTGGTGCCGCACAGAATTCATTAGAGAATTCTATCAAGTTAGGTTGAAGTTTTTGAAGTCCAGTCTTTGGATTGGAAATAAGTGATGCAATTTCACTAGGATCGACTAAAATTGGTAAAAGTGGTAAAAAAGCAGGAATTGGAATGCATTGTATAAGTTCTGAAGAGGTAAGAATACTAAGTAATGCAGTTTGACATGATTGCGATAAATCTTCCACTAAAGCTATTGGGTCCTGACCCTGAGTAAGTTTAGCAACCCTAGCGATTTCATCTGAGTGATATCAGATATTGTCGCTTTTTTTGTGGTGCTGAAAATCCTAAACCCATTATAGCAAGAAAGAGTAAAATGACGACAACAAAATTATTTTTCATTATTTTTATTATTATTATTTTTTTGTATACAGACTTGAGAAAGAGAATAAGTTGCTTACTTTAAATACATTATTATTGATAATCAAATTCATTAATAATTAAAAAATTGAATTCGGACTTGTTTACATTTTAGATCAAGATTAGACTTTTTTCATTCAATTAATATATACTAACAATGATTCGGTCAATTCAATTAATTAGTTTCCGAGAGATCAATCTCTCATTTAATTAATGACGTTTTTTATTAAAAAGAAAGTTTGTCAAATTAATGACGAGCGAGTTCCTTAAATTCGGGGTTAATGATGAGAGGGCTTTGTTTTGAACAAAATAATCAACAATCTGAGGCTCGTTTTTCATTATTGTATTGTTTAATACCAATAAAAAAAAAAAAAAGTTTTTTTTACTCTTGGGGATGTAGTAGAATTTTTCATATATATGTATATATAACGATCTTTAATCAGAGTTCTAAATAAGAATTATTCAAATAAAATAAAATAAATGAAACAAAAATAAAAGTAAACTAGATGAATGCTTTATGACAGTGACTTCGTCACTAGTGTTACTTGTTATTTACTGTTTTAAGGTCTCTATTCAAATAAAAGTTACTATTTGAAGAAAAATTTCTGGCCTTCGGCAAAGTTGAATGATTTTAATATTGTT